CAATCATGGGTGTTCTCCTGAGTGCAAATTCAGTGGTATCAGAGGGCTTGGCTGTATATTACAACTTTCTTGGTGTGTTTAGGGCAATTGCTGGTTCTGTGCAGATGTGTATGTTGGCCTGTGGGTTTCTTGTATATGGTGGTATGTATTTTACCATTATGGACAATGATCATAGTGTCTAAAAAGGAAAAGTTGGTGCTGGAGTATTCAAGAGATAGTATGATGGAGGCATGATGACTGATGAATTTCTGATAGAAATCAGAGATTGCAGATTTTCAGTCCAAATGAAGAAGATGTCATTGATATATCTTAAGTATAGCAAGGGTTTGATGGTGCATTCCTCAAGGAATTCTTCTTCCAGGTGGCTAATAAAAAGGTTGGCATATTGTCGGGCCATTTTGATGCCCATAACTGTGCCCATCATCTGGAGGAAGTGTTGGTATATGGAAGTAAAGTTGTTGTGTGTGTGGATAAGTTCAGTAATATCTTTAGGTCTGTACTCTGAGTTGTAATCTTGCTCTTGTAGATACGCAAGGCAAGCTTGGATGCCATCCTGGTGTGGGATGTTGATGAGTTGGTAACATCCATGGTGGCTAGGAAGGTGATGCTGGGAAGGTGGTCTATGTTTTTAAGTTTTTGTAGAAAGTCTGTTGTGTCTTGGACAGAGTGGACACTCTTCCCCTGTAGAATCTGGGCCAATGTTCAGGCAAGAATGCAGGAGTCATGGATCCAGGAAAAAAAACCTTGAGAGAGCATTATTTTGGAACCTAGTGTTTAGAGCACTGAGCTGGGCAGGGTGACTCTTGGGGTTCATTCTCTGACTGCTTATACTTTTTAAAGTCATTGGATTTAACCCCGCCCCCTCACAAACAACCCCCTCAAATGTTCACTGACAGGACTAGGGACCCAGGATCCCCTCTCTCCCTCCTCAGTGTGCCAACTGGTAGGCTACAGGGTACTGCTTTTTGTCTGGAAGCCAGTGATAGTACTCCCAGTGACTTCAGTGGGAGCAAGACTGAGAGATCAGTAGGCAGAAAATAGAATACATAAATAAATAAATAAATAAATTCATAAGCCTGTTTATACAAGTAGGAGCCAAACTGCATTGTTTGATGATGTATGTGATTTTCATGTGGCTATCAACTGCTGTGTGTAGCACAGATTCCTATATACTTGGTGTATTTACATGTGCTTTTATGCGCACCTAAAGTTAGTCCCAAGTCAATGAACATACAAAACATTAATGCATCTACATGTTCACTTTTATGACTTAGTAGCCACGCCTACATTCAATACCTGCTTTATGCAGGTATCAAATTTAGGCACGAATAGCATAAAATTGCCATTTTAAAGGCGCATTAAGGGAGCGCATTTGTAGACACCCAGTTCCCTCCAGCCCTGAAATGGGCCTCTGCCTCCACTGGGGGGAGCTCTGGGCTCCCCCCAGGTGCTAGCCCAGATGTTGGCAGGGAGCAGCTGTCCGGGCTCTGCCTGCTGCTGGAGTAGGGACAATATCCCCCTACTCTGGCAGCATGGAGCTCCTGGCCCTGGCTCCTTGATCAGGGGCATGGGACTTGGAAAAAGCAGCAGGGGAGGGGCAGGTCCCAGTGCCCTGCCATGATCTGCCAGCAGATGGGTACAGGGGGTTGGGACCTACCCCACCCCTGCAGCTTTTTCCAAGCCCCGTGACTCAATCACCTGATTGGGGCATGGGTTTGGCACCTGTCTCTGACCAGGACAGTTCCCAGTTCCTGCCCTGCACACCAGGTGGAGGCTGGGCAGCTTGTTACCTGCCCAGCTCCATGGGCACAGAGCTGCGGGTGCGGGAACAGGCTGGGGGGCTTGTTTCCTGCCCAGATCCATGAGTGTGGAGCTGAGTGGGGAACAAGCCCCCAGCCTGTTCCCCATCAGCTCTGAACTCACAGAGCTGGGTGGGGAACAGGCTCCCCCGACTCCACCAGGTGGGAGCTCCCAGTGCCAGCTCAGTGATGGCAGAGTCAGTGCTGGGAGATCATTATTTCCCATCCTGAGCTCTGCAGTCATGGGGCACGGACTGGGAAATTCTTATCTCCCAGCACTGGCTCCACAAACCAGCACTGGGAGAGAAGAGTCTCCCAGCCTGAGCTTCATGACCACAGAGCTCAGGCTGGGAGATAAGGATCTCCCAGCATCAGCCCTTCCATTGTGGAGCTGGCAATAAGGGACTCCCAGCCCCCTGCTCCCCATCACAATGGTGGAGTGGGGACTGGGAGATAAGGATCTCCCAGTCCCTGCTCCTTGACTGTGATCTTGAAGCAGGGGGCTTAGAGCTCCCTGCTGCTGGGGCAGTGGGACACAGTTCCTGCCTGGGCTTCTGTGACGGAGCCCGCCCAGGCAGCAGACAGCTCCCAGGGGCAGGGAGCTATCTCCTGCCCCCTGGTGGATGGCTGACCAGGAACAGATTTTGATCCCAGTCAGGCATCTACATGAGCACTACGGCACCATTACTAATCTTGTGTAAACTTTCTACTTCCATTTGCAGGTAGCATATTTACTTGGGATTAGGGAGGTTCACTGTGAAGTAAGCACGTGCATGTGTAGATGAATCCATAGAGATTGTGATTTTGCTTAAAGCCTTGTATCCAGAGTAGTGGTGCTCAATCTCCTAGCCAAGTAAGCCAGATCAAGTGCTGGATTGTACCCTATACACAAGAATCAAGCCCTGTGCTATATCTGCCTGGCCTTTTGTGCTGAAATTAGGCCTGAGCTGCCCCTGCCTACCTCTGTGTGCCTGACCTAGCATGCAGGGCCATAATATCTGGCCTGTGGGGCTCCACACAGATCTGGAAAATTGACAGCATGGGAGCAGCAATTAATGCTGCCACCACTCTCCTACAGCCATGTTTTTAGACCTGGGGGAGCCCCGTGGGCCATATGACATGGCTTTGCAGGCTGGATCTGGCTCATGGGCTCCGGGTTGAGCATCCATGATTTAGAGCAATAAGTAGCTATGCCACCCCACCATCAGTACAGGCAGGCACCCGTGTCACTGAGTGGGTCATCTTTGAAAGTGGGGTTGTGCTCTATGTAAGTATACATCTACATTTTAATTAGAGAAGTAATCCAGCTGAGTTTTAAGTTTCACAGTTGGTAGGAGGAAAGAAATGATTTCATATTTAAAGTACAAAACTAGGACTGAGGAAATCTGGATTCTATTTCTGGCCCTGCAAAGACATCCTTCATTGGCCTGGGGTAGTCACTAACAACTTGACGCAACTCCACTGAAGTCAGTGGAAGCCTTTCCATTGGTTTTAAAGTGCAATTCTGTTCTGAAAATGACTATATAGAAAATGTCATCACATGGTTCCATACTTGTGGATCTTGAATGACTCCAGATCAAATCTGTTCTGGTTACAAAATTATAAGAACATGGGTTTTTTTTCCCCCTGAACTCTTAGTTCTGTAAAGCCAAGCTAGAATTTGAAAGCCACCCTTGGGTTCTTTATTGCCTGTGCAACATAAACAAAAAGTTTCTGCAATTAGTGTTTCTTATCAGGGTGCCCAAACCAGACTGAGATAAAGCTCATAGCTGTGATATGGGCAATACCTAGCTGAATTGCCTCTGCATGTTGTCAGAAGTTAAGTGTAAGCAGCTATAACTCTGAGGATACACCTTTACTGCTTCTGTAGTGCCTAGGAGTGCACTGCTGTAAGTAGGGCCCCTTCGACCTCTTCCACACATACCCTTCCTAAAAAGAAGGCAGTGAAGAGGTCCTGAAGTGCCCCACCCACCACCAGTCACAAACTTTTTCTTTCTGCTGTGTTTGAGTGCAGCAGCAGGGGGCAACCTCAAGGTGTCTTCACTAGCTCATTTCCAGGTTTGGCACACGTCCAGTGGGAGCGGTTGGGCTGGGCTCTCTCCTCAATAGTGCACTCAGAAGCACTCTGGAAGCTGCATAGATATACACAGAACAGATGTAGGAAACTGGCCTATGAGAAAGCAGGTGTTAGTTTTCCACATTTACTTTTCTCTCCCTTCTCTTGTCTTATATGGGAAAATAGTAGCAGACCTCTGTGGCAAGTTTTGAGGTCTTTTAAACGAAGGTTTCACATCCCAAACTATCTCCAAAGGCTACATCCGATCAGGAATAACTATGGGAAAATATATCAGAGATGATGAAATCCAGCACACATTCTGAGGGCAGTTTTAACTCCTCCAAATATTCCTATTTAAGAATCATAGACTGCATAGTAGGCGTCGGTTTAAATAACTTTTCTCTCTGCATACTCTCTTTATCATGTGTTATTTCATTTTAGTCTACTCTGAAATAGCAACATTTAATTGGAAATCTGTCTTGGATTTACCAATATCTGCTTATATATGGAAGGAGACCTCAAATTCTATGTACTCATTCTCAATCAATGTCAACTAGGAATTAACTCAATGTTATTACATTATTGATTTTATTCATCCCAGGAGCTACATCAATTTATCATGGAATTTTCACCTCTTAAAAAGCAACACAGATCAAGAGCATGCATTATGTTTGCAACATAAACTGGAAGGTTTTTCAAGTCTGATATTTATATTCTTTCTAATTTGCTTAGATTTCCAATTAATCTAAATTCCTGTGTAGCCTCTTTGAACTTTCTACCAACTGTAAATAGTTTTGACAAGTTTTTCTGAGGCTTGCCTTTTATCATTAGGATTTGCTATGAGATGTATTGTAATATCATGGTAAAAAAACCCCCTCTGGTATACTAGTATAATTGGTTTGGGGGAATAAATGTAAGTGCTTTATGTTAACGTGACCACATATAAACCATAAAAAGCAACTCTAAAGCTTAGCCAGACATTCAGTTCCATTATATATAGTTCAACCATTTATAGTGTCTGCTCCTAAGTCTTACCTGTGACCAGCAAGTAACAAAAAATTGCCCTTCTGCCCTATGTAGTTGGTCTAAAAAATACTCTCCTATTTCATTTTATATTTTAAATTTCTGTTTGTATTTTACTGTAGAACGTTGGAGCTGAACAAATTCTGTGATGGCCGGAGAACTACCGACAGCAGGAAAACGAAGAGTAAAAGTAGAGGGAAAAGGATTTTAAATCAAGGTTTAAGACTGTGTTATGTGAACATTTAAGCCAAATAACAAAAAACATTTTGGAGATGGAAATCGTAAAGGCTTGCCACCAGCACTCCAATTAAGGTGTGCAAACTTCCCAACTACAACTCCTAATATCCTCAGGAAGTTTTGCAGCAAAAATTAGGAAAGACAGGAATTGACATGCCTGATATTTCTAAAGGAAAACAAGGAAGATAAAACAAACCAAAACAAACTTCCAGGCCCTCTTTATCTCACAAAGAACTAAGCAATTAAGTCCTATTTGTAAAATTATGTTGTGTGTAAAAGAAGTCCTAGAAATATTTTACTACTAAAAAGATATACCTAAGCTTGGAGGGATGGGGTTTTTTTGGTCCAGCCATTCGGTTTGAATCAAACATATATATGCCTTTGCCTCTTGATGTCACAGTTCCTTCACTCAACAGTTAGCCATTCATGGGGAAGCAGCAGAGAGACAAAATGTCAGTGAAGGATGGAAAGATAAGGTGGGGGAAAAAAGGGGAAAATGTATAGGGGGTGGAGGAAGAGAAGGGAAGAATGGTAGCTAATTCTTGAATCACATTTCTACCAACTTGTATATTTTTTCAGTTGCCCACCAGTGTACTTACATTTTTATGAAATCATTAGGTATGCAGAAGTCCCACAATAAAGTTATACTAATACTTGTAAAGCACTTTGATCCTTCAGACAAAACAAGTGCTATAGGCATAATCATAACTTGTCTATATGTGACTATACGGAGATCGCTGTGGTGTTTGCAACACCCCAGAGAAGGCAAATATGCATGAGACAACTGCTTCTGTGTGAGGCTAGGAATAGTGTTGTATAATCAAAATGTAATTAGCCAATGAGAGTTTGTTCTGATGAGGTAACCCTGATAATATATTAACACTGGTCGGTTATATTGTTTCCATGGAAACACTCAGAAGTGGAATTCTCTTTCCAGCCTACTCGTGTAGTTTTTCTAATATGGTCTTTTAAATAGACTTCTAACTAGGAGTGCACCAATAGAGATTTTGGGGGCCAATACCGATAGCCCATATTTAAGGAGGCATATTGGCTGATACCGATCCGATACAGCTGCGTCCAGGTGGTAAGTCCTGTGTAGTAGAAGGAGAGGGAGGAGGGAAGGGATGTGGTGGGGGCAGATCAGTGCCCCCCGCGGTGAGGGAGGGAGTGGGGCTGGGGCAGGCGCTGCCCAGTCGGGGCAGGGTGGGGGAGTGGGGGACAGCGCGGAACAGAGGCACAGCTCGTGGGGTGCGGGCAGCTCCCGCCACTGCTTGCATCCTGGGAGGGCAGGAGGGTGTGTGCCCCCAGATCTGTGGGGCATGGAGAGGGTGGTAGCTGCAGGTTTGAGCCGGAGCCGGTGCTGCATGGGACTTTTCTTGCCAGGGGCTGGGCTCAGAGCAGGCTCCAGCAGTGCTGGGAGGAGGCTTCAGCCACCCCAAATTTCACTGCAGCTCCTCTTCCAGCTCCATGCCATCACTTGCTACCTGGTGCAGCCCCAGCTGAACGCCCCTCCTCCACCCAAGTGCCAGGAAAAGCCACGGCTGCACTGGGTGGTGACACAAGGCTGGGAGCTGACCTGTGGTGAAATTTGGGGTGGCTGCAGCCTCCTCCCAGGGCCACTGGAGTCTGCTCCACGTCCAGCCCCTGGCAAGAACAGCCCCACGCAGCGCTGGCTCCACCCTGTAGCTGTCACCCACCCCGCGCTGCGCAGATCCGGGGGCAACCCCCCACCCTCCCAGGGTGCAAGCAGCAGTGGGAGCTGCTCCCACCCAATGAGCTGCGCCTCCATCCTGTGCCCCCCCCATCCTGGCTGGGCCACACCTGCTTCTGCCCCCTCCTTCACTGTGGAGGGCCTTGATCTGCCCCCCACACCCTTTCTCTCCCCCTTTCTCCCTCCCCTTCCGACTTACCAGCTGCAGGCAGCTCTCCATGATGCCAGCTCTGCACCGTGCTGCACTGCAGCTGCACGCAGCACTGGTATTTATTGGCCAAACTATTGGCCCCATAGGGCCGATATCTGATATAGCAAATTTTCTTCATATTGGTACCGATCCGATATCAGACCAATGTATCTGTGCACCTCTACTTCTAACACAGTATCTCCTTCAAGTTACACTGCTGTTGTCCCCAAAGTAACATTCATTGTATACAGACAGGAGTGTTATTACAAACCTCACCTTGGGAGAGAAGCCCATGGTACCAAAAATGCCAAGGGAAAAATTCAGGAGCAAGTATAGTTTGATTTTTCTCAGACTTGAAGGCATCAGCTGTGCACCTTAATCATGCTACTTGGGGACATTCTGGAAATACACTGCACCCATTGATTCCCATCATAACCCTTTTCTAATCTTTTTCAGGTGATCTCTATTTCACATATGAGAGCAACCCAGATCCCAGGGTCCTTCTAAGTCATTCTCAGAGCAGGATGCAGAAGGTGAAAAGGAGGCAAAGCAGGCCATGTGCCACTTTGCATTCCACTGAACCTTGGGACTGGCAGGTGCTTCTGTTTCTCCAGCTGTAAATTGCTGACCTCACTGGGATTACTGTCCTCGCAAGTGGGAACATGCATTCCTTGGGGACATATAGCAGCAGCAGAAATGTGTGTTGCTGCTGTTTGTCCCCACGGAACATCCCTGCACACGTGCTGTGGTGTGTAGGAAGTTGCCCCGACTGGAGCAGGGTAGGCTCGGGCGAGCACCAGAGCTGGCCCCAGCAGCCTTACCTGGAGTCCTTGGGGCCTTCTGAGGCTCCAGCATTGGTGATCCAGGCACAGAGGTAACACCATGACCACTAAGGTAGTTTTCCTACTGGGATAACTGTTTTTCTGGCAAGGAGGTAGTACCTGGGCAGAGGTAATGTATAGTTAGTCTCCCACATTCACTTCCAATGATTTTACACACACTTTATGGAAATGGAAGACTCCTCCCTAGCTTGCTCTTGCAGCTGTACAGCTGAGGGCAAGCAAAACTTGGAGGCATCAGAACCCCAAGCCTCTTGGCTTGGTCTGCATGTAGGATGCCCGTCAAAGGATTTGGAAGCATCTGGGTGGAGGATGTTTGCTGGTAGCAGGGCCATATATGGGTTTTGAATGACTTATGGATTTGGAATTGATTTGGCTAATTTGACTTGGAACACAAAAAATTTTCCTTAAAAACCAAACATTTGGTGATCCAGGTGCATGGAGCCTAGCCAGCAGCCAGAGCCACCCTTTTTTCTGGTTTTTTGACACTAGGACCTCCTGGTGTCAACCCTCCCATACTGCAAATTAGCAGTGTGGTGAATGCCAGCATGTACAGTTCAATGCCGCAAATGGGTCTGCAGTACTGCAAATTGCATGTGTGCACTCGTGGGGACACGCTCGCTGTGTTTACAGAATTTAGTATTTTGGGCTAGATCAGGGGTGGGCAATTATTTTGGGTGGAGGGCCACTTACCCAGTTTTGGCAGGCTGTCGAGGGCCGCATGGGTAGCCCCACCCCTTGACAGGTGCCATGCCCCTTGACAGGTGCCAGGCCCCCTGGTCACCATCTTGGGACCATTGTCCTAATGTCTTGGGACCAATGTCCCAAGGCCAGCACCAGTGGGGCCCAAAGCGGAGTACAGGCTGACAGGGGTCTGTGGAGCCGGGCTGAGCTGCACCAGCAGGGAGAGGAGGGAGCTGTCCCAGCTCCACAGAGTCCCTGCCGGCTGGGACCCTGCACTCCTGCTACCCTGCTCTGGGCCCCGCTGGCACTGGCCCCAGGACACTGGTGTGGGCCTCGTGCTCCTGCTGGCTCCCACATGTGCTCACTCCCAGTGCCCCCTAGCCCTGCGGTACAGGTTGGGGGCAGTGCACAGCCCTGACCCCCTGCTTGCCAGCAGGGAAGAAGCTGGTTCTGAGTGTGGGGAAAAGTGGCCCCTTGCCTTGCCCCATAGCCAGCACTCCCTGCTGCAAGTGCTCGCAGCCCATGTGAGGCTGTCCGGAGCAGGCACAGGCTGCCCCATGTGGGCTGCAAATGGCTCCAGTGCAGGGCACTGGCCACAGGGCGAGCAAGGGGCCGCTTTTCCCCGTGCTCAGCACCAGCTTGTAACCCACTCCACTGCCAGCCTGGGCTCTGAGCCAGCTCTAGGCTCGACCATTGGGGCTTCACGCAGCAGCAGCAGCTGTGGCCCCCCAGCTTGCTGCACCAGGCAGCGTTGGCTGCTGCTGCCCACCCAGGACTTGTGCGCTGGGCAGCACAGAGGCAGCTGTGGCAAACCTAGCCCAGTGTGGCAAGCAGGGAGGCCGCAGCTGCTGTCACCACATGCAGCCCTGATGGGCGAGGCCAGAGCTGGCATGGGGCCCAGGCTGGCAGCAGGGCCAGGTTACAAGGTGTGGTGATGAGCATGGGGGGGGGGGAAGTGGCCCCTCCCTGCCCCATGCCTGGTGCCCCACACTGCAGCTGTTCACAGCCTGCCTGGGGCTGCCTGTGCCTGCTCCAGACACCCCTGCATGGGCTGCAAGCAGCTGCAGTGTGGAGCACAGGCCATGTGTCGGGGGAGGGGCTGCTTTCCTCTGCCCTGGGAAGGAGCCAAGGAAAAGCTGAATGTGGGTGGGGGGGGGAAAAGCAGCCCTGCACCTGCCCATGGCCTGCGCGCCTTGCTGCAGCCACTCTCAACCTGCGCAGGGCTGTCTGGAGCAGACAAAGGTGGCCCCACATGGGCTGTGACCAGCTGCAGCGCACGGCGCTGGCCATGGGGTGGGGGAGGAGCTGCTTCCCCCAACACTTTTCCCTGGGGCTCCTCCCTTGCCCTTTACCCCCGCTTCCCCCTTACCTGCGGTTCCAGCATGGGGCAACCGCATAGTCCCAGGCCA